CGAATTATTTCGACAAAAAGAAGGAAAAGGAAAAGACCAACTAGTAAGGATTTTCCTTCCTTTATTTGCCAGAAATCAGACACTTTTCTTATGAAGGAAAAAAGTTTTAAGACAGAATCCTTGTTTATATAGAGGGTAGGGGTGGTATCGGGGAAGGGTCGGTTTCTTTTTGGAACGGTGCGATTAATACACGTGGCGCTACGTGATTGTTTTATGTTCTCCCCAAACCAATAAAATGTTGACACGCATGTATCGCTGTGTCCTCCTAGACGAACTATGTGAAAAGAGAGCAGACTTTTTAAACATTTTTAATTATTGTGAAAATGGATTCATTAATTCAGAGCTGTTTAATTTAATTAATCTTAATTTATTGAGTTAAAGAATTGACATGCATTTTCTTTCAAGTAATATTTATAAAATTTTATAATAGTCAAATAAATACGTGTGGATCATTAAAAGTTATATCTGACGAGGAAAATAATAACTCATTATATAATGTTTATATAATAATAATAATAATATTATTATTATTATATTAATAAAGGGGCTTTGAGCCAAGAAGCAAACTCTTTAGAATTTGATTCAAATGATACCTTCTTTCCATCCAAAAGGGAAAGATTTGAAGTCATCCCTTCTTGATTCGTGCTCAAGTGCATTGTTTGTGACACGTTACGTTTGGCAGTCTCTGTTCACTATCTCTGAAGAAAACAACAGGAGTTTTCTGGATCCCAAAACCACATTTTACTGTTGAAAATGAGTCTATGATACAAAATGTGCTGAATCTGGAAAATAATCAGGACTAATTTACATATCTGAAAGACTCCAAAGGCAAGGTAGCAATCTTTAGCACATTTTTGACAATGGCAACTAGTGGTTGCATTCTATATTTTTCGACTCCCCGAACAAATATGAGCTCGAATCCTGCCGCTCATGATTCCATAAATTGGGATGGTGGAGGACTTGTTTTAGTCTTCTCTGGACCTGCAACGGTTATGGATGTTTGTAAGTTCTGTTTAGGACTAACAATCATCTCAATATTTTCCAATTTGGTTGTCATTAGATGCCGGACAATGAGTGGTTTAGAAGATAAATGAGATTTCATCGCAATCACAATGTTCTTGGCATGGGTAGGACTTACCATAGACACCACGCATCTCTACTTCACGCCATTCTTGAACGAGGGCACAGCAGCAGCACATCAGATGTGAGAGGAAATCATCAACAAATCCACCCTGCCAAGGAAGAAAAGGGTAGTGTTGTAAGGAAACCAAATTGAAAGTAAGGATCGAAAACTACTGTGAACAACTAATTGTGGACCTTGTATCCAAGATTAAGCTTTCTATTGAGAAAAAGAAGGTAGTAGGAAGTGATTATCAGTCATTTGAATCACACATAAGTATGGATGTCGCCAAAAAGAAGTGTTGATAATAGATACAACTGGGCGTGCCTATTATGTTCAGACAGCTCTAAACCGTCTTCTCATTATGGCTATGATTAGTAGAGCACCGCCTATGGTATGAGGCCAAGTTAACATCCATACCATATTTTTACATGGCAAATAAAAATAGAAGAAAACTTATAATTCAGGGTCTTATCTTCAGCATGACTAGATTACTCTTTCATTAAAAGAGGGTATACCGTAATGTTCAATGCCTTGCGTAGCTTCCTTCTAACACAGCAGGTGTAGCAACAGCAGGACAATATCAATGAATACGCCATCAATTCATTGCATGCTTCTGCAGAAGCTGAAGAAAGTTGCTGTGTAAGCTTTGAAATAGCACCAAAATCTAAAACAGAATTTTCAAAGGTGTTGCAGCTGATATAACACTTTTCTGTGGCAAGCCTACAAGGAAGAAGGTAATTTCCTTTCCCAAGGAAAGCCATCCCATAACCTCACTTATGCATGCATGCTAAGGAATATAGAAACACACATAAACACACAATCTCACTTATGCATGCATGCTGAGCAAAATAGAAGCACACATACACATATTTATTACAAATTCATAATCCATATGGATCAGGATAGGTCAGAAATCAACGCATCCAATTCTTGCACAAATGAAATTAAGGGAATCAACAAAAATAGAGATCACACAGATTATCACCCAAGCTATTAAGAAATTATTACGTAATCAAAATATAACTAACTAGAAATTAAAATATAATTCAGAAATGCTTACATATGTGCCTGTTTGTTGCCACAGTAGCAATCTTTGAAAATGTACCACAAGGATAGAAGAATGTCTTTATACCTGCAAAGGGAAAAGGTTGCTTCAGAGACTAGATTAACAGCAAATGCAGGAATAGAAGTCAGGCATATTATACAATAATGGGGCACTAATGATGTAAAAGATGACATACACAGATATGGTTCTGAGCAACAACCAAGCAAATCAGCATGCCATTCATCATATCGATGTGAACCTCTATCAGACAGCAGATCATGTCCTGATGAAACTGAAGATGTGTTTCTGAGCAAAAATGCAAGGCATAAAACATTTAGTGACCACCCTTAGCTCTAAGTAGATGAGCCAAATACATTGCAAGTGGCAAAGCATCAAGTTATCAGCAAACTAAATTTTGCATTTTAAGCATACGAATTTAGCAGTACCATTCAAGTTTTAAAATTATCAAGAAATTACGAGGCAAATAAATTATCATATTGAATCACATTGGCAAGTAAGAAATCTTACTTTTACTGTCATAAATATGTCTACATCAGCTTTCAACTCTTATAGGACATAAAGCCAAAGGTATGCAAAATAGGGACAGGTTACTGGGGATAGTGCTACATGAGAAAGGTGTTTATATAGAACTACAATTGCATTTTGACAATGTAAAACTAAAAATGAAAAGAAAACTAACCTTGAAGTTGTGCGAGTATCAAACTTATTAGGTGAGCTTTCATCATATGAATGATCTTTCTCACTATTTGCATCTGAGTAATTGCGCTCTACTTTCTTAGACCCTTTCATGGAAGAACTCTTATCTGGAATAGAAGTTGCAGCAGCAACTTCTGTTACATCAAGCAAATGCTGGATTACTTCACACTGCTGCACATCATAATTAGCTTGTGATCGTTGCAGTTCTAGTTTAAGCTTTTCATTTTCCTTTTGCAGTGCTTCATTAAAACACAAGTTTGGATATGAGCAAGAAAGAGTTTTTTTCAAAATCATGGCATCATTTTTTGAGGGTTCTGGTTTCAGAATAACATCTTGCACCCTTCTATCCTCATCATCCAATGTGTACTCATGTTGATCTTTCTCAATAACTTCTAGTCTCTCCTGCAGGTTTGGAGAAATGAAAAATTAGTAACATGCGCAAAGCTGAAGACATGTAATCAATCCAACACAAGAAATTTTTTTAGTGACTTCAATTATCTCATGGATATTTTATTTTTCAATGACATTGCCGCCCACAAGTTCCTATGACAATGCAATCCAAACACAGAATCATGTATGTCAACTTTTGCATAATTCAGCACACTCTCTTCCCAGTAAAGGCTTGATATCTATTATCTTTGACAATATCAATAAACATGAAATTAGAGGCATTATACAACATATTTTGCCATGCAATTCATCTATGAAGAAGCTGGTAGGCCTGATAGACTTGGATTTTCGTACAATACATGAGAAAATAGAAGATAAAGTAGTTTGAAGGAGCCTTCATTACCTAGGAAGGCATTAACAAAAAGGAAATCATGTAGGATAACTAACAGTTCCAAACCCTTAAATGGAACAAATACTCACCAGTAATTGCACTTTATTGAAGTTACCCAAGCCATTATGCTTCAAATTGCACATGATAGTACTTTATAAAAGAATAACATACAAAGATGCATAAGTGTGGGAAATAGCACTCATATTCAGACCATCCTATTATGTCAGGATCAAAAGGGCATTCATATCCCTATATTTTTAACATTATTAGCACTAAGAGTCAACAATTAAAGATTAAAATCTAAGTTAGCAGGTCTTTAATGGTTGCTAAGGAATTAAGGAATGAAAGATAATCCTTCATTTATAATAAGAAAGATAGATAACCCAGGGGAGAAAGGAAAATCAATTGCTATTGGAGAATCGTTAGAAAACATATAACAAATTTTACAGGAACCATTTTCACACAAACGAAACAGATGACAATCACTTCTAAAGCTTACCATCTTCATTTTTTAAGTACCAGATTCCGACCCAAATATCATTTCAAAAGCCTTTTGATAAATCATGCAAATAAGGAAAAAAAAATTAAGGGGAAAAAATATTAAAACAGCAGCTAGAATAATCAATACCCTGACTCGAGCATTATCCACTAGAGTGATAAGAGGAACAATCTTCAAATATCGGTCGATTTCATTCTGAGCCTTCCTAAACTGATACACAATGTTCCATCCCATGGCCAGAAGATACAGATAGCTCCTATCCTGACAACTATTGACCAGAATGTAAGACCTTCTTAATGCATCCTCAAGCTGCTCCAACGGCTCTCGCGTCTCAGGATATCTCTTAAGGTCTGAGATCTTGAGCTGCTCTAGCAAGTTTCCGATCAACTTGAGATGCTGTGCGAATTGCCTGCAGTTCTTCTTATGCATTCGCGCTGTGCTTGCAGCTTTAGCTATCATAGCTATTAACCGCACTGCATCAAAGCCCGCAAGCTGGGCTACATTTGCAATTTCTCCGATTTGCTCCCACGAAGATGCCATCCTTCCCTCTCAATCAAACCTGAAACCTGCCTTTTTATCCCATTAGATTACTCCATAATCCATTTTTAATAAATTAATGAAACAATTTGACCGGAATTATATGCTTTCCACAGCCAAAATTCAACTTAATGAACACTAAAAAAGAAAAAGCCAGATGGAGAGATTTTCGCTCGTTTTCACCTCTTCTAAGCTAGAAGCTCCACCATATCAAGAGCTTCGATGTTTCCGCTAGGCTTCACCACTTGCATTGCACAACAAAAGCCAGAGCCAAAGCTGATTTCTGTAAAGAATCCACGAAATGTAACTGGAACTTGAGAAGGAAGAGAATCCGTAGCTTCAAGCTGGATCAAAAGCTCCTTCCCAGGATCTATTCAGAAACTGCATATTCACTCGAGATCTTCGACTTTCAGAGCTAAGAACAGCGCAGTATCCGTTTCAACTGCTTAAGAAACCAAAAAAAAAAAACAGTTTATAAGATACCGCTATCTAGAAGATTATCCGTCACGCTTCTTCGCTTACTTTCTCGAGTCAAAAAAATACTTTAAAAAAGCAGAAAAAAAATTGCGAATGATTCAACTCTTCAACATGAAAAAAGAAAAAAAAAAGTTAACACCGCAAATGCAAATTCACTGAATCTCCGGTTGAGCTCTTAATGAACTGTAATTAAGCCAAAAACAAAGTTACAGTAAAATATAATTAATAAAAAAAAAAGGACGGTAGAACCTGTACACTGAATAGTAATTAGAGCTTCAAGAATAATAAAGGAAAAAAAATTCAGAAAGAAATGACAAAGAAAAACTGCGCTTATGGCAGCGAGACACTCACCTACTCCTCAGGAGTTTTTTCTCTTATTTTTTATGCATTGAATTGATTCTTCTCTTTCTTTTCTTTTTCCTTTTTTGCTATCTTCAAGAAACAATCTTCAGAGTTTGAGAGACGAAGAGCATTGAATTCCGGAATCAACAGGCATTGCTTTGCGCAAACGTCGAGCCTTCTTCCTCTCCTCCTCCTCCCCCTCTTCTTCTCTTCTTCTTCTTCTTCTTCTCTCTCTATCTTTTATCGCTCACAGTTTCGGTGCTCTTTGTTTGTCTCTGCTGGCGTGCAGAGTCGCCACTATGCCAGACAAAGCAAGGAGTTTTGTGCCACTGTGCTGCTGGTGGTTGTAATAAATTTCAAGTACTCAAACGTCCTCCTTTTTTCTTTCTATTTACGATGATGCCAGCGATTTTCACGGAAAGAATCGGCACAGTGAAAAAAAAATTTCGTTGACTGTCCCCCCCCCCGGCCTTTGTAAAATCATTACAGGGTCAGCCAGCTGGCATCGAAGGACTGCCGTAGCTTTAGTGTCACCTAAACACATGTCCCGTAGGGTTAATTGCTGGCCTGCTGTCATTAACAGTAGCCGTCCTACCATAATTAAGACACATTAACCGTTTTTTCTTGCCTTAATAAATATTATTATTGTAATTTTCATCACTAGAAACATGATGGTAAGCTCTGTTGGTAAAGAAAACATACTTAATTTGAAAGGTATAAACATGATTTGGGATAATGTTCCATCAACTTGGTGGCCCCTTGCTTGGCTTACAAGCCTGCTTTACCAAGCTCAAAGTTGATACGAAATGTCATTTAAAAAGGTCCATAGTGACATAAATGCAGGCTTGATTCAAGGATGAATAAAATTTGATAGAAAATTAATGGATTGAATTTTATTAATTGGGATCAATTTTTTTAATTTTGATATTAATAGATCGAGACTAATAATTTATTTTATTATTTCAATTCATTTTTGATATCCAAATATTATTAATATTTCTAAGATATATTTAAAAATATAATATTTTTAATATTTTTAAAATATACCTGAAAACTACTTCATGTAAATCAAAATACTTTTTTTTTCAAAATATGTAAATCAAAATAACTGATTGAACTATTATTAATGTTAGTCGTCCTACCATGATTATTTTTAGTTCTTCATTATAATTTGACTGATTCCAATTACTTATTATCAAAATTTGATTAATTTAATTTTTAAAATTTTAAAATCGAACCAATTAAATATTTATCTATAAATAAAAATCATGTCGTGTAACTAATACTTCTGCATTTATTAAGATAGGCTAAGCACAAAATAAATGCCCTTATTTTTTTCAATTTCACTTTTTTTTTAACTTCATTTTATGCTTTAGTCGTTTAGTCATGTCTAGTTATCAAAGAAGTAAAAAATAATTCATGTTTGGATTCATTAGGTAGGTAAAGCTTGTAGAAATTAGTTAGTAATAGTACTAATTATTTTTTTAATGGTTAAGTAAGAAAGAAAAAGATATCTTAATATTTAAACTGTTTATTAATATATAATTTTTATTGAAAAAATAAGACTCGAATTCTGTTCTCTCCATTAAAAAAAAAAAAGGAAGGAAAGGGATATTAGTGTAATTGGAGAGGGGCTTGATGAAAGGGGAAAAGGCAACTTAAAACAGGAAGACGCATATTCTAGTTTTGAACATCCATTCTCTCTGGCAACTGCCATGTGGACCCATTTAATGGTACGACCGCGACAGTGCCGCTCACATGTCTTCCATTCCACGTGTCCACAGTCCACCCCGCTTTTCCTCATCTGTAGTCGCTCTCTGTCTCCTTATAATTACAAATTTTGCTGCTCCTTTTCCTCTAAAGCCACGTACGCCTACAAATTTTCATCACGATTCCTGTATTTTTTCCTTTTTGTAAATCAAATTTTTTACCCTTTCTAGGTGTAAGATTGATCTTATCATCTAAATTTTATGATTAGTTTATTAGTATGGTATGATCCATGACTTGATAAATCATTAATTAATTGGGATGCAACTTCTTCTTGTTTAAAAGAAAATTATTGTGTCATAAGGAGGAAAAATAGTCATAAATTGATAAGGAAAAAAAATAATGGTGATGGCATATTTCTCAATGATATATATGGTGGAAAAGGTTGCATTCACCTTTTTTTTCTCTTTTTGATGTGCACCATGATTCATGAAAGAACACGCGTGGTAGCTCAGAAGATAAGCTCTTCCTGCTAAAATGTATTGCAAAGATGTGCAATAACACACAAGTCCATCATTATAACAACTACCTTGAATTATACTTTATAAAGAAAAGGTCAAAAAGAGAATGAAAAAAACTAACATGTCAAAGTTATAAATTATGCGTAATCATCAATAGAGTAATTATTTTTTTCAAAAATTATAATCATATTAATTATTATGTTGTTATATTGTATGTTCTATGAATAACAAAATACTGATTGATATTAGATTTGATTGCTCCTATAATCGACATAGTTTAAGAGAATTCTTATTATTTGAGTCAAGCTAAAAATTATGTACAATCATTAGTGAAAAAAAATGGTAGGTATAGCTAAAACTTGATAGAACAACTGTCTAGGCAGGAGGTTAACATTGCAAATTAGCCATTTTTAAGGGAAATAGAAGAAAAGAATATTTGCATGAAATTGAAAGAGTGTTAGAATATGATGTGGGTAGTAATGTCTTTAAAATTTGGAATCAAATCCCCATCAAATCAAAGAAAAAAATCATTGGCAGCAGAGGCCCCATTTGCGGTCTATTACTGTCTTGCTGGCACCATAACTTTTAGGGAAAGAAAGAGAGAGAGAGAGAGAGGCAGAATTGACGAAGTTGTTTTCTATTAACCATAAAATATAAGACCCTACAAGCTTAAAATTAGATGGCTCCACGGTCCCCATGGACACTATTTTTGGGCTGAATTTTGTGATCCAAGGCGGGTGACTTACTGATGTTAGGTGGTGGAAGAACAATTGACCATCCTCCTCCCCACAAGAAAACATTTAAAGCAATGTTTTATACATATAAAGATGAAATGTCTATTTTTCAAGACATGATGAGGTGGATATTAGGTATAATTTGATGTTATTTTTATTAAATTAAATCATTAAATCGTGCTTATTTTTTTTAATACCAAATTTGTCTTTTTTGAGCATGTAACGTAATAATGATCAAAGCCAAAGTAGTAGTTCATGTGTAATTTTTGCAAGTCAATTTTGAGTCATTTTCAATCGGTTTGTTACCATGGTTTTGGCCCATTCACATAAAATATCAGAACGAAGACTTTGAGGGTTTAGATAATTCTACTCTCCACGTGAAGCAAAGATTCACAAATAAAGAATCCATACCCAACTAGTTAGCTTGAAAACTGGGTTTAATACAAATTCCAACAAAAGGCCAAAGAGTTTATAATGGGATTAAGAGCCATCAAATGGTAGGTTAAGATTCCTTGTGCATATACCTTGGTGTATTATTCATTCTTTTCTCTTGCCTAAAATTAATTTTTATTTCAAATTAGTGTTCGGTTTAGATTTTATGACGTTGGGTTCAAATTTTTTACGAATATTAATAATTCCTTTAAATAGAATATGAATAATTCAATTTTAACCAAATTTGAAGCAATTAAAATTGGCTGCTATATTTTTAAACTTTTTGATGTCACGGGTAAGAGATTCTCCGATGTCACGTGTAGGATTCCACCTAATACAAAACATACCCTAATTAATAAAACATCTACTACAAATTGAATGTAATCCTATATATACATTAAATAGTAGAAACCCTTTTGCTTATAATATTTTATTCCGTTAAGTTTTCATTGTGGAAATTTGGACTACAACCATTTGTATGCTGTCCATGTGCTTTAGTGGGAAGATACATACACTAATCGAATTATAAGGTTAACATAAGCCCAAAAAGCCATACTTGAAGAAGTAGAAGTAGGTCAAGTTTGGAATCTGCAGATGTTCATACAGCTAAAAGGCAAAAGCTTGTGAAAAGAATTCTTTCACTATAAAACGAACGAGTCTTGGTTTGTAAGGCTTTAAAACCCTATTCCAGGTAAGGACTGAGGGCTCCTAGGAAAGGAAAAACAATATAAAAAAATCATGGCGGGTTGTGGCGATGTGAAACCACTTTCCAATCCTTTTGTTTTTTGATGGGCAAAAGCTCCTGTGGAAGTATGAAAGTTTGCACCCTTTTTGATGCTGCGAACGTGACTGCATTTCTTTTTGGGATATCACTTACTTCCTCTGTGCTTTTCATTTATGGGAACAATGAGGGAATATAATAATAGTACGAGGGATTAGTGGTGAGGCCAAATCGACAGTGTTAATTGGATTAAAAAAAAGATAAGGTGGAGTTAAATTGTAGTGATATATGTCATACATGGGGGCAACTCACCAGCCAGTGCCGTTGTTGCCAAACCACGTCAAGTCGTGGTCCTTTTTGGAGCTGTTGTCCATAAGCGTAGCTGTCCTTGTCATTGCATCTATTACATTTGTCCTTCGAAGTCCTCTTCCTTCCAACTCAATTGAATACCACTAACAACCCCCACGATTTAATTCTCATCTATTTTTATTTTTTTGACATGATGAGATGTGTTTAAGTAAAGTATTAAGGTTTATATAAACAAATACCAACATCACGTGTTAATTAATATGACATGATAAGCTCATTTAAATACAATTAACAGGATTAATTTATCTAAACTATAATGATTCTAAGCTTGCAAGTTCTCTACATTTGACACATGTTTTAAAATTTTCATGATATTTAAAAGGTATTTTTGAACTTTCTTTTTTTTTTTTTCTCTTTCTCTCTTCACCTCCCCTTTTATTAGGCCATCGCTCTTTCTCCACCGTTTCCCTTTCAACTCATCCCCATTCCTAAAGCAAACGTTATCTAGCAATAATGAGAATTCCTAGAGACAAGGGAGGGGTTAGGGGAAAGGAGTGGGGATGGGGATGGGGATGGGGATGGTAGGAGTTGGAGGTGCATCTATTAATTTAAACTGAAATCGTATACAAGTTAAAATGATTTTAAATGAGTTAAACGGGTTGTATGTTGGTTAAGTAGGTTTAGCTCATTTGAAACACAAAATTGTTGCATCTTATATGTTTTGACAAGAAATAGGATAATTTTAATTTTAAATTCGTTTAATTTTGTATTGTTCTTATATCATGTTAAAGTATTGTGTCAAAAATACCCTTTTAATTGTAATATATAATATGAAATATAAGCCCCTCTAAATTTATAGACAAAACCTTACATTTCTTAATATTTAAGGTTAAGACCACTAATTCAACCAAAATGCCGTTTTCATTGTAATTGATCTCATGGTGTTTTATGAAGAGCAATATGAATTATTTGATTTCAATCCTACCCACTCAGCCCAAGTTTGTGAACCCGGTCCAACATGAAAAGAAGTAAAGTTTTGGGGCCAATCCCATCAATGTTCAACTCGATATGGATAAGGATTTGGACCAATACTTGAAAACAAAATGGAGACGGTAGCCCAAGTAAAGGAAAACGGGCCACCAAAACAAACTACTATCTTAAAATGTATTAATTTCTGTACTATAATTTATATAAATTATTTTTTTTATGATATCAAATTTTATTAATATCAATTCAATTGTTAATATCACCATTAATATTGCTAAAGTTAATCCATTAAAGTTATTGATATGATATTTAATCATGTTTATGTGACATTGGATTAAAGGTAATTGATTTTGAAATATAGGCATTCGGTTTATAGGAATTGTATTAAAAGAATTAAATATAATATTTTAATAAAAGATAAAAACTAAATATAGAATTTGACGGTTTTAGTCATTACATTTTTAAATACAATGTATTTTCCATAAGTTTGAGAATTTCAAACTGTGAAAAAGAATTTAAGAACTAGTTCAAAAATTTGTGAACGCTTTCAGCTTAGATATAGCCTTAAATTTATATGCCATATATCTCCTTTTATTTTCTTAATCCGTAAATTAATGGTTTAACTAGCTTTAATTATTAGCAATCGCATTAATTCTTTTATTACTTAATTGGACAAAATAAATTTCCAAGGACTACAGTGCCCTCGGGGTTGAACTTCAAATTTTCAGTAACTTTTGACCACTCACGTGTAATAAATGATGCGTGAAAGGGTTTAAATCGTCCTTACAAATATTTATTTGTCTCACACGAAGTGACTGATAGACACATGAGTGTCCCCGCGTCAGCCATCTAGTCAAAAGACACTACCTAAAATGCCCTCACATTATGCTCTAAAATAAAATAGACTATAATAATAATAAAGTCTCTTAATTATGTCTATACAATTTATTTTTTATTTTATCTGAAGAAATTTTTATTTTTTTATTTGTATTCATACATGGTATGTCAATCAATATTTTATAATTAGGTACCTTACATTACCCAATTTGATTAAATAAAATTAAAATATCTTATAAATTAAGTTTAAATAGAATTCAAATTAGAGTATATAAATGATAACAGATACTCTACAACGAACATTTAATCCAATGTTAGGTGGTATATTATGTGTTTGATTATGTGACCACATAACCCATTTTACATTATTACTATGTGATAACATCAATTACTACATAAATAGAAAATGTGGATAAGTATTTATATTTATTAACAGTAATAACTATGTGGACATGGATAAAAAAGACAAAGCCTTGCTTGATATATAATGGGCATTGGATTCCCTTTTTTTAGGAAAACCATAATTCTAAAAATTAGCAAAAGAAAAGGGATTTTGAGCAGAGCCTCAGATAATGGTGACAAATTACCCAACATTTTGAGGCTAATATAGTAATTATATAAATGTTTATTATTTCCCTCGCAAATCTCCTATTTCGAAATTTTGATATAGAAAATCAAAAAACACCACCTTTTAAGGAAACTCGATCTAACCCTTCTCTATTCTCTAATCAAACGCCATCTCCGCCGTCCAATTGGACGGAGTGACCTCAGCATTAAAGACACAATCTGGCCCACCGCTCTGATTTTCCAATCCTAGCCTCCCACGTGTGCGTGCAGCTAGATCGGCGCGCATCTCGTTTTGCCTTCGGTTTTTATTTTATTCCTTTTCATAATCTCCAAAATACCAACTGTTTGTTGAAAAATTTGGCGGGCAATTGAGAGAAATTCAAATAAGGAGCAAAACCCTAGCGGCCCCAGCGCTTCCCTCTCTCTCTCTCGCCACTTTCTCTCTCTTCACACGCACTCTCTCTTTCTCTCCCTAAAACTTCCCCTCCTTATGAAATTTGGCTCTTTCAATTTTCTTTTTGGCTTTGTTTTTCACACGGAATATCTGCTAATTTATGGCCGGTGAGTTTGTCTGTTTCTTTGATTTTAATTTGTTTTTTTTTTTGAGGAGGTTCTGATTCGTTTTTCGGTTTTTGTACTGCAGGAAGATCAATTGCATACGATTTGGAGATCTTGAATCTATGATCATGTGAGTTTTGTTTATTACCAATTTTGGCCCTTTTTCTGATTTCTTTAATCTCATTTTGCATCTCTTATTTTTCATTTTTGTTGGGTTTTTTTTTTTAAAAAAAGTTGGAAAA